TTGTTCTTAAAGATGTAGGGTGTTTTCGGGGGTTATTGCATATTTTTGAAGAGGCCCTGCTTTTCCAAGTTGCGATTGGCATGAAGTGATTCGACATTTTGGTAAGTGTGCCATCAATAACTGTAGTCGGCTGGATCTGATCGTTCCCGGATGGCAGAACGGTAAGAAGGGGGTAGGGGGAGCTCTATCTTGCAGGGGCATCACAAGGTGAGGGTTGAATGTCTCAAAGAGGGTAGGGGCGGAGTAGAGGGTTGCCCTATTCTGGGGCAGGGGCTGGTGTGTGGGTCAACATCAGTCCCAGTGGAGGCAGAAAGGGGCAAGGGGCCGGGGATCATGCTTTACGTGGGAACTGTGCGCTCCTGGGGTAAGGGGGGTAGAGAGTTGGTCCTATATTGGGGCCGAGGGAGAGCGGGAGACTCACCTCGGCGGAGGCAGTGTAGGGCTGAGGGGGAAGGGGTAGGGGGAGGGAGGGGCGATCTCTCTCGAAGAATTCTAACATCCAGCTTAGTATTTCTTTCCATTTGGTTTGCCTCTTGAGGAGGTTGTAGGAATACGTGCTATCTGGCCAGTCATCTGTGATCCTGCGAAGGGTGGCCAAAAATTTGGTGGCCCTGAAGACCGATGCTGGAGCAACGCTGGCCGGAGCCGGAGCCAGGTGGCGCAACTCTGTGACCTAGTTTAGTGGGGGCGTGAGGCCTGGTAGAGCGATCTGGGGGGCTGTTTGCAGGGGCAGTCTCAGTGGTCATCGGGGGTCATAACTGGAGCAGTGCTGACTGGTGCTGGAGCAAGGTGGTGCAACTCTGTAACCTAGCCTGATGGGAGCATGAGGCCTGGAAGCTTTGGTTCGTGCTGAAAACAGCCATGCTGGTGGCGGTTGTAGGTGGATTGTTTAGGTTTCACCTATCTGATTCATGGTGGGGAGGCTTTTTGACACATATTCTAGTGACTTGGTAGAGTTAGAGTAGTGGACCATGAATGTTTCTGAGTTCTCCCTTTTCTTCAATTAATCGTAGCCGAAGCCGGGTAATGGCCCCGGTAGCTAAAAAAAAAAAAAAAAAAGATTTCGGAGGCTCAGGGCTTGGTGTCCTAGTGGATTAAACCACCAGTACCTCTACCAGCTATAAAAAAAAGTTGCGGCCGTATACGCGCCGCGACTTTAGGGGGTCGGGCGACCGAACGCCCGGTCGCTGATTAAAAAAAAAAAAAATCAGAAATGAAAAGAGAAAAAACAGGGAAAAAAAAAGGAGATTCAAAATAAAACAAAAACAAAAGAAAAAGCACGGCGCACGATGTGGTGGTAAGACTCAGCAACACAGAGAGAGAGAGAGAGAGAGAGAGAGAGAGAGAGAGAGAGAGAGAGAGAGAGAGAGAGAGAGAGAGAGAGAGAGAGAGAGAGAGAGAG